AGAGCACTGGCCGTACCAAAGGGAGGAGAGGCAGCCATCCCATCGGTGCCCCCTTTTCCTCCCCCTCCCCTTCTCTATCAGTAAACACATCCTCAGGCAAGGATTCAAAAACAACACTGGGGAGGGGGGTTGGCGGGGAGGGGAACAGGCAGGAAGTGAGGTCAGAACTGCAGGGCCCAGGGGAACAGGCAGGAAGTGAGGTCAGAAGATCTAGGCCGTGATCGGCAAACCGCGGCTTTCAAGCCACATGCGGCTCTTTGGCCCCTTGAGTGTGGCTCTTCCACAAAATACCACGGCCTGGGTCTACTTTGAAGAAGTGGCGTTAGAAGAGGTTTAGGCTTAAAAACTTGGCTCTCAGAAGAAATCTCAACTGTCGTGTTATTGATGTTTGGCTCTGTGGACCCATGAGTTTGCCGACCACTGGGCTATGCCAGTCGGGCGAACACGGGCCCCTGGTCACAATAACGGGCAGAGGACGGATGTGAGCGCCGGGACAGGCCAGGCACGGCCACAGGAAGCAGCAGCTCGGGGACACCCCGCCCTGAGCCCTGCAGGCACCGCCGGAAGCACCGTCCGCCCGGCTCCTCCTGACCCTCCCAGCGGGCCGGCCGGGGCCGTGAACCAAGGGCACATCACACCACGTCCAAACCCGCTACGGGGATCAGGCCCTGGGCCCACTCGTGTGAAGATGGAGGCTGGGGCTGGACAGGATGGTCCCTGGAGGTCCCTCTCTGTCTCAGCTCCGCTCAGAGCCCCCCGGCAGGCACACAGCATTGCGGCCCCAGGAGCCCTGCGACCCGGGCCCAGGCCGCTCCGAGGCCCAGCACAGGGCGGCCACGGGCGCCTGTCGGGAGCTGCTCGCCCGCGCCCACCGGACCTCCTGTCGGTCGGGCACACCTCGGCCCGCCCTCCCCCAACAGCAGCCCCCTCGGAACACAGTCCGGGCACCGCGGCGCACACGGGCTCCGGGCAGAGGCCAGTGAACCCGGGACGGCGGGGAGGCCTCGGAGCGGGAGCCAGAGGAAGACGGGAGGACGGCTGGTCCCTGTAAACGGCCTGCGGCCAGGGACACGGAGCCAAGTTCACCTGCAGAAAACACGCCGTCAGCGGCCGCGCCTGCCGTCCCCACCCCAGCCCGAGGGAGAAGGACGCCAGGTCTCCAGCGGGGTCAACCGGCCGGTGACCTGGTTCCTGAGGGACGGCTCAGAACGGTGGGCCGCACGCTGCCATGAGGTAAGGGCGGGGGGTGGGGGGCTCGGGGAATAGACACCAGGAGAGACCGAGCCCAGCCGGCGGCAAAGGGGGCGATTTCGGCCTCAGAATGCCGGCACGAGCCCGCAGGCTCTAACTGGGTCAGCAGGATCCGCAGGGACACTGAGCCCCTGGGGGAAAGTTCACGGGGACAGGATGCCGACAGGGTCCAAAGTCCCCCACGGGTTACTCATTAACCAGGAGGGAAAGGCAGGCCCGCCCGGGAGCCAGACGGGGCCACCCACCTCGGGGGAGGGGCGGTCGGAGCGCCTGCCCGGAGCGCCTGCCCGGAGATGTGGAGGCGCCACCGGGCCCCCCACATGCACCCCTGCATCCCACCAGGGGCTGGGCCAGGCACCCCAACGCGAGGCCCCACACTCCGAATGCACTGGCGCCACAGGCGGTGAGGGGCCCGGGAGCGGGCGCGTCCCGCTGGGCCCTGGGCGGGAAGACTGCCGCGGAGCGTCACCCTGAGGTGCCCTCACGGCTTCACCAGAGCGGGAGACGGTCCAGAATAAAAGGCCGAGCCCGCCCGGCCCGGCCGGCTCAGCAGCTGAGCATCGACCAGGAGGTCATGGCCTGATTCCCGCCCAGGGCACGTGCCCAGGTTTCCGCTCGGCCCCTGGTGGGGGGCCTGCAGGAGGCAGCCAACCAGTGATTCTCTCATCCTTGATGTTTCTTTAAAAAAAAAATACATTTTTGTTGACTTCAGAGAAGAAGCGAGAGGGAGAGAGAGAGAGAGAAACATCAATGATGAGAGAATCACTGATCAGCTCCCTCCTGCACGCGCCCCCCCTCACCCCAACTAGGGATGTGCCCTTGACGGAATTGAACCTGGGACCCTTCAGTTCCCAGGGCAATGCTCTAGCCACGGAGCCAAACCGGCCAGGGCTCATCACTGACGTTTCTCTCCCTCCGCCCCCCCCTTCCTCTCTGAAGTCAATAAAAATATATTTAAAAACAAACAACAAAAACCGCTGAGCAAGGAGGAGAGGTGGGGTCTATGACACGGTGCCTGCCCTCCAGGGGGCGGCCGCCCCCACGCCGTGGACACGGGCGCACACGGGACCGCGTGGCCATCCCCACGCCGTGGACACGGGCGCACATGGGACCGCGTGGCCATCCCCTCGCCATGGACACGGGCGCACACGGGACCGCGTGGCCATCCCCTCGCCGTGGGCACGGTGCACACGGGACCGCGTGGCCATCCCCTCGCCATGGACACGGGTGCACACAGAACCACGTGGCCATCCCCTCGCCGTGGACACGGGTGCACACGGGACCGTGTGGCCATCCCCTCGCCGTGGACACGGTGCACACGGGACCGCGTGGCGAGAACGCGCTCCGGTGCCAGCTGGGGCCCCGCAGAGCCTCCGGTTCGTCGTGCGGAACGTGAGCTCCCTCCCCTGAGCCGGCGGAGACCTCCGGACCGCAGGCCGCCGAGGCCCTGCGTGACACAGCGCGTCACCGGCCCCTCAATGCACAGCCCGGGCCGTGGCCCAGCCCGGGACAGCCAGAGCCGAGTCCACTTGACGAGCAGGCGCCGAGGGCCGAGGTGCTGACCGCCGGGGCCCGTGCCGGTCGGAGGGCAGGCCCACGAGCCTGGCCTCGCCCTTCTTGCCCCAAACCTCCAGCGAGCGCCCGCCAGCGGCGGGACCGGAAACCGCGCCCCCACGCGGGTCCTCCGGGCGCGGCCTTTCCCGTCTTCTGTAAAACCCACCTTCCCCCATGAGACCTGCCCGGACTCCGCCTCCCCGTCAGGCCAGGCTGGGGGCGAGGAGCCCCCGCTGCTGGCTCCTTCACAGAAATCTCTGCCTGAAGAATGGCCGATCGCTGACGGGGAGCGGGCCTCAGCCATCAGTCAGACATCTCCCGACTCCGAAACCGACGCCAGCTCCCTCGCCACAGCATCGCCTGAAGGCTGCACTCGACAGGGAAGTGCCCCTCAGCCCGCCACGGGCACCGGCTCACCGCCACGGGCACCGGCGCACCGGCTCACCGCCGCGGGCACCGGCTCACCGCCCCGGGCACCGGCTCACCGCCACGGGCACCGGCTCACCGTCCCGGGCACCGGCTCACCGCCACGGGCACCGGCTCACCGCCACGGGCACCGGCTCACCGCCACGGGCACCGGCTCACCGCCACGGGCACCGGCTCACCGCCACGCTGTCTGCTGCACCCGCGGGCGAGGCAGGCTGTGTGGGCCCCCACAACCGGACCGCACACGGAGGCTCCGGCCAGATGCCCCCTCAAACGCCCACTGCGGACGCTGTGCAGGGAGGCTGGCCAAGACCCCGGGTCCTCCCCATCGGGGTGGCCAGTGTGGGCACGCCGGTCGTGGGCAGCACGGGCCTCCGTCTACGAATGTGCCCGCTGCCGGCACACCCCTCGGTGCTCCCCCTCACAGCGCCTGCTGGTGTCCATCGCTGCCTGGCGGGCTGTGGGGGCGCCGTGCCAGCCCAATGTGCCCACACGGCCCAGCGGGCGCCGGCCAGAGGCCCGGGCTTCGCTGGCAGAGGGAACCGGCCGCGGGGAGCCTCGCCCTCTCCATCCTCCCGTCCACGTGCAGGCCAGCACCCCAACCCCACCCCACCCCCTTTTCACCGGCGGGGAAACCGAGGTGGGACCTGACATAACCCAGCGCCCAAGAGAGGAAGTGGCGGGCCCCGGGAGTCCACGCCCTAACCACTAGACATGCTGCCTCTCCAACTTCTAGAAACTTCTCCTTGGCTCGAAACACCAAACATTGCACCACCTCGTCCTTGCGCAGGGAGACGGGGAAGGAAGGAGCAGGGCAGTCGGAGCTGGAGAAAATGATTTCTGCGGGGGGGGGGAGGGTTGAGGGGGGGGGCAGCTGAGGGCACTGCCTCTCCCCAGCACCCTTCAGCTCCAGCAGGGCCACCCTCACCCAGCAGGTGGGGCCCCACCAGTTTTGCAAAACAAAAATCCAGGCTCCTCCTTCCAGAGCCACTGGGGAGGGGGTGCCACCCTCACACCCCGCCCGCCCCCGTCAGCAGGGAAGACAAAGCTGGACGGGGAGCAGGAGGCCGCCCGCCCGCCCGCTCTCCGGCTGAGGTCCAGGCTTGCTCAGACTCAGGCGGCCAAGACGGGCGTTTGGAAACCAAGGAACGGAAATGGCTGCCACGGCTGAGTCATCAGTTCCATCAGCACCGCCGGGAGGGGCCGCAGGCAGCGTGGGCACCGCCCGGCCCGGCCCAGGCGGCTGTCCAGGCCCAGTGCCGCGGCCGGCCATGCCCTCGGGGAGGGGGAGGGGCTGGCTTTCTCCCGGTTCTCGGCACAGCCACGTGCCCAGCTCGCCGCCCCGCGAGGCCGGAGCGCTCAGGCCGCCGGTCACCACGGCCCGGCTCGGCGGAGGCCGCGGCCAGGCCGTGCACCGTGGAGGCCGGAGGCCGGAGGGAGAGCAGGAAAGGCGGCCGGTGGTCCCGCCGCCCCAGCTGCGTCCTTCCCGGAGCCGCACTGGACGCAGCTATGGGCCGGTGTGCACGCCCCCCGCTGCCCCCCGCCGCCCCGCGCCCGGCCGCCAGGAGCAGCCCAGCTCTCCTCCCGGGACACGCACTGTCAGGCTGTCCGGGTCACGGTGGCCGGCGCCAGCTCTGGGTCTGACGTGCTCGGTGTGCGATTAAAAAGGAAGGAGCCCAGCCTCTGGGGGTGAGATGGCCCACCTGCCCACCCCCCCTTCCCGGGAGCCCCCCTCCTCTCGCTCTCTTTAAAGAACTTCTCCCGGCCACGTGGCTCCGTGGTGGAGCGTGGACCTGTGAACCAGGAGGCCACGGTTCGATTCCCGGTCAGGATCAGAGGCGTCACCAGCGGCCGGGCACACAGTAGGGCTCCTCACGGAGGACCTCTGCACTCAGGCGGGCCTGCTGCCCACTCCCCCCAGGGCCCCAGGCCCCAGCAGCCGGGCAGCAGCACTGCGCCTCTAACAGCAGGGCCGGGCACACGGGGGCCTCCTAAGAAGGCGGGTCCCAGCTCACGGCTGCTCTTGCCTCCAACGCTCCACAGCCCGGCTTCGCGACAGACGGACGCTAAGCCATGACACGCACAGCACACGCAACGGGACTCACCCCCACCGTGCAGAGCGCGCACGCCGAGGCCCGAGTAGGCACCGCCCCACAGGCCGCACGCGGTCAGCGCGCACGGCCAGACGCTCACGTCGCTGACCACCAGGCAGGCAGCTCCAGCCGCAGCGAGGCCCTGGCGGTGGCTCAGTCGCTTAGAGCGTGTCCCGATGGGCCAAGGGTTCGATCCCGGCCCAGGGCACAGACAAGGAGCAAACAATAAAGGCATCAGTAAGCGAAACAAGCCCATTTCTCTCTAAGTCAATAAATAAAACTTTAAAAAACAACAACAGTGAGACACCAGCTCACAGCCACTGGGACGCCCACCATCAGAAACACAGAACAGGCGCCAGCGAGACACGGAGAGCAGAGCCTGTGCCGACTGGTGGGCTGCACACTGGCGCAGGCGGGACAGAGAACAGCGGGGCGGGGAACGGCGGGGCGGCTCCTCAGAAACTGACACAGAATCACCACCGAACCCCCCACTCCACTCCTGCACCAACGCTCACAGCACTGCTGCTCAGTGGAGTCGGACGTGGAAACAGCCCCGTGTCCAGCGATGGACGAACGGACACGCGGACACACACACACAGGAACACCCGGAGGCTCCGACGTGGCGACGTGGCTGGGCCTCGGGCATGCTGTGCTCCGTGGCATTAGCCCGGCTTGGAAAGACGGAGGTTGTGTGACCCCTGAAGGGGTCAGGTCCAGGGACAGAGCAGCCGGGGGTGCAGGGGCCGGGGCAGGGGGGAGCGTGACAGGGCAGAGGTCACGGGGGGCAACGGGAGTTCTGGAGACGGCGGCTTCGGCACAGGAAGCGCTGTGCTTTCTGGGTGGCAGGAGCTGCAAATGGGCAGCTTCCCCCTCGGCCCGAGTTTAGAGAAAAGTCGGTAACACACAAAACCAAGACCCGCACGCAGGCCCCGTGCCCCCTGGGATGGAGTCACTGAGAGGACGACGGCCATGAGCGCCCGGGGCGGCGGGGGGCGGGTGTGCGCCCGGGGCGGCGGGGTGCGGGGGTGCGCCCGGGGCGGCGGGGTGCGGGGGTGCGCCCGGGGCGGCGGGGTGCGGGGGTGCGCCCGGGGCGGTGGTGTGCGGGTGTGCGCCCCGGGGCGGTGGTGTGCGGGTGTGCGCCCGGGGCGGCGGGGTGCGGGTGTGCGCCCGGGGCGGCGGGGTGCGGGGGTGCGCCCCGGGCGGCGGGGGGCGGGTGTGCGCCCGGGGCGGCGGGGTGCGGGGTGCGCCCGGGGCGGCGGGGTGCGGGTGTGCCCGGGGCGGCGGGGTGCGGGGGTGCGCCCGGGGCGGCGGGGGGCGGGTGTGCGCCCCGGGCGGCGGGGTGCGGGTGTGCGCCCGGGGTGGTGGTGTGCGGGTGTGCGCCCGGGGCGGTGGTGTGCGGGTGTGCGCCCGGGGCGGTGGTGTGCGGGGTGTGTGCCCGGGGCGGTGGTGTGCGGGGGTGTGCCCAGGGCGGCGGGCCCCGGTCCCAGGACTGAGCCGGAGAGTCCCGGGTCCTCACCTGGGTCACTCACGGCGACAGAAAGGAACCCCACGACCCGGTCACCACGCGATGCAGAAGGAGCTCCTACACCTGCACGTCAGTGTGAGTGAGAAGGCGAGGGCGCGCCCACCCCGTCTTCCAGGGGAGAGCCCCCACCCCTATGAACCGCGTGGGGGGATACCCTGTAGCAACACTCCACCCTCCCTGCAGGGGGACGCCGGCCGGGGCCCCCAATTCAGAGCCAGCCATGGGACCTGCCATCTTTCTCCCCGGCCCCAGACAGGCGTGCTCACACAGGCCTCCACGGGAGAACGGACGGACCACGGTGGGAGCCAGCGCCCCCAGGAGAGCCGGGCTCAGACCACACGGCAGACCAGGCCCCGGCGCCGCCCAGGGCACGGCCCAGACACGGGGACGCGGAGGAGGGTCCCGAGGGCGGAGAGAGAGGAACAGGGCCCAGCTCGATGACCGTCCGCACCGTCAGTGCCGCCGGCTGGGACATCACCCTGTAGGCAGCCCTAACGGGGACGAGAAAAGCCAGTGTCCTCAATGTCCAATGGCCACAGCCTCAACACCACGGAGACTGACCCGCTGCGGGGCAGGTGCCCCCAGAGACGTGCCCACCCCAGTGCACACGCAGCCCCAGATGCCCAGATCCAAACAGAGCCCGCTGGCTCTGCCGGGCACGCCCATGGCACCGCAGTCCTGCAGTCCTGGTTCCCATAACCCGCGTGTGAAACCGACACTGAGAGGTGTCAGCGTGAAGTAACGTGATGTCAGGACGGCTTTCAACAACAGCCCGTCTCCGCACACAGAGGGGGGGTCAGACCTGTCACCGCGGAGCTGGGCGCGGGTCGTGAACCAGGCTCTGCCCTGTGCCGCGAGGAGGGACCCCAGACACGACAGGATACAACACTGTGTGTCCACGGCACGCCGTGAGCTGCGAGTGACCTCGGGATCGGCCCACAGCCCCCTGCACCACTGTCTCCTCGGAGGCAGAGCAGCCCGGCTGAGGCCCGGGCCCGTGAGCCCACCGCCAGCGCCCGCCACCCCGTCAGCCTCCGGGAGGCCTCATCACGGGGAGCCCGGCCCGCACAGAACACAACTCAGACGTCAACGTGTCCGAGGAAACACTGCAACCGGCAGAACGAGCGGCTTCCGGCTCCGACGGCAGTGAGGACGGCGCGAACAACCGGAGTCAGCTGACAGCGGCCACGGAGAAATCATCGCGGCTCTCCCCCCACGCTCGGGGCCGAGCAGAGCACGCCGCTCCTGAGCCCACGCCCCGCACGCGCGCTGCCTGCGGGAGGCTTCCTACAGGCAACCCAGACGGAGCATCGAGATTCGGAGTCGCCGGGCTGCAGCAGCAGGACCAGGCGTGCACTCAGGGCCCAGGCGCCAGGCCCACGGGTGGAGGCCTCACTGCGCAGCTCCCAGCGCGGGGCCGGGGGCCACTGCTCCTCCGTGGTCCCGTCAAGACCCTCCGGGACCCCCGTGGCGGGCCTCCCGGCTCACGTCCCAGCGGCCCCCGCCTGGGCGGCCCCCCTCCATCCAGCGCCTCGCCCGCCCGCAGCTCACCTAGCTTTCACAGCTCTAAGACCTTTGTAAATCGAGACAAAACCGACGAGGGTCAGGCGGGCTGGGCCACACTTCCTGTGCACAAGGACGTTAAAAAAATCACAGTTTTGATAGTTCTGCAAAAAAACTTAGCAAATTTACAACAAAACTGTCAAGTAATTAAGGCAAGGCACTTCACACATGAACTTAAACTGCTAATTAAAATCCCCTCGCTTAATTGACTACATTTGCATATCATTCAACTTGGGAGCGTAATTTTTTTAATGGTTTGGACAAATCGGTTGTAACCTCCGGGAGTGGGCAGCAGCCGGGAGGCCCAGGTGGGTCTGGGGCGCCAGGGGCATGACCCCAGGAAAGGGGTCCCCCACCCGGCAGGCCGGACACCCCACAGGTGTGCAGTGTGGTGACGGTACCTCCCTTCTGCCCAGCTCCCGACTCCACGCCCAGCGGGTCCCAGAACCGCCCGGGCAGGCACTTTCCTCCCCCCGGGAGCGGGTCCTGGCCTCCCGCCCACCAGCCACGGCGGCTCTGCGTGCTTGCCCAGCGCCAGCCCTGCCCTGGGGAGACCCCCTCACCCTCCAGTGGCGACGGGTCCGAGTGCAGATGACCCCGCTGACCTTCCACAAGCACCAGCCCAGCCCGGCAGAGCCAGGCACGCGTAGGCTCGTCCTCAGGAAGGGCCTGCCAGGACTCAGCCCAGGAGCCCAGGGCTGCTCGGACCCGGCCGGACCACGCCCACGTCCCAGGCGGGGGCTTCCACGTGGTTCTCAGCGCAGCACCCGCAGTCCACGGAATTGGCGTTTTCCCCGCACCGGAGCCCGGGCCTGCACAGGCACCCGGCCCCGCACAGCTCGCTCCGACGGGCACGTGCAGCAGCGAGTGCACACGAAGCCGGCGCCGGGCTGCCCGCGCGGCCTCAGGACGGCGGGTAGCACGGCGTCGCCCCGCGCGGCTCGGAGGGACCCGAGGCCGCGGCGAGCACCACCGCGAGCAGGAGGCCACGGAGACGGGCAGCAAGGACCACAGGCGGGGAGGAGACGGCCTGGCACCGGCCCCCCATCACCGCAGGCCTGAGCGGCAAGACAGCGCCACCGGCTGGGCTCGGGGCAGCGCCACGGCGACGGCCAACAGGCCGGCCGAGCAGGAGGAGCTGGCACGCTCCCCGGGGAGATGGTGGCGCCAGCCCCCGACTAGAGGCTCTCGCAGGTCCCCCGGGCCCGTGGTCGCATGGGGGTCCCTGGTGCCTGTCAGTGCTGATGGGGGGGCTGTACGGGCTCGGGCCGTCCCTGACCCAGGTCACTGAACGGGAGGAGAGACCGGGCCTCAGCCTCCGTGCTGTCCCCCAGCGAGCACCTTGGGGTGCGAGGCCGGAGAGGCCTGGGGAGCCCCCCAGCTGGGAAAAGCGAGGACCAGAGACCATCGCCCAGACCCTCCCCAGACACGTCAGCCCTGCCCCTGGCAGAGGAGAGTGACGTGGGCACACGACACCGCCCCTGGTGAGGGTCCCCAACACGCACCCCCACCCGACTGCTCCTGGCACGTCAGCCCGAACCTCAGTGCCACCCACACACGGGGGTCTCACCCTGGGGCTGGGGGTGCACAGCTCAGCTGCCATCGGCGACTCACCCCTCACACGGGGTCCAGACCCGCTGCACCTCGGCCCCTCGGGGCAGAGTGAGCCCGACAAGTGCCCACTGCCCTGCCCTGCCCGGCCCCGAGCGAGCCCCTCGCTCGGCCTGCCCTCCGCCCATTTCTCCGCAGCAGGAAGCCTGCTTTCCACAGAAGCGTTCCTCCCCAAGGACCAGCCGGCGCCCGGGGAGGCCGGCCGGGCAGGGCCACGCTGGACGCCGCCATCAGCGGGCGGCAGGCGCCTGTCGGGTGCCTTAGGCTCCTCCGGGTGCCCACACAACGGACCTGAGCGAGCATCGTCTCCAAAACCCAAACAGGCAGGACAAG